AGGTTAGCATTTTTATTCTTTTACAAAAATGAAGGATATGAGGCTCAAAATGTTAAGCCTAGGGGCGCCTGGCTGGCTTCGGGGTTGGTGGAGCATGCGACTCTTGATCTCGGGGTTGATCTCCACACACGCTGGGTGTGGAGATGACTTAAAAAAATACAATCTTAAAAAAATTTTTCCAAAAAGTTAAGCCTAATTCCACCCAGCCAGAAAGTGGCAAACCGGAGATTTGAACACAGGGGATTTGGGCTCCAAAATCCATGCTTCTCCACTCCCTCAGATGTGTTGACTCTCAAGAGACTCAAAAGTCTAATGGAGCAGAAAGACATAGACCAGAGAGGGTGCGTGATATTAGTTGTCGTGATAAATCACCACAGTTAAGTCACATGTGTCAAGTGCCATGGGAGCAAACTGAAAAGTCATTTCAACCCCGGGGGGCAGGGTGAGAACATCCTGGAGATGGTGGTGTTTGCAGAGTGCCTGAAGGCAGTGTGACATTTCAGCACACAGGAACATTGCACAATAAGAAAGCAGGGGGAGCAATGGTGTAGACGTGGGGTGGCTGATGACTAAGGTAACTCATGCTGACTGGGGGCTTGACAGGCCAGGCACTGGTCTCCAAAACCCCTGATTAGCGACCACATATCAAGGCTTTGGGGTAAATACTATTATTAACAACACCCTCTTTGGCAGATAAGAGAGGTTAGGCAAATTATCCAAGGTCACCTTGGTCACTTAAGTTCAGACCCCAGCCAGCTAGCTCCAGAGTCCACGCTCCCAATCACAGCCCCGGGCTGGCTGGCGTCACTCCCCCAGACCCCAGCCACTCCCTCACCCCCCACTCCCCGTGCCTGGCTTCCTCTATCACACCCGTCAGAACACATTGTCATGAACCCAAAGTTTGTTTCCTGCCAGACAATGAATTTCCTGGGGGTAGGGATGGCCTTATTTGTCTCTTTCCTCAGTAATTCGAACAGGTCCTGGACTCGGGGCAGGCCTAATTCGGTGTTTTTTGAATGGTTGTTGATGAAAGAGTGCGCGGCCCTCAGGAATGTACCAACAGTTTAAACTTTATTCTATGGCTACGGAAACCTTTAGCCGTAAGGGAGGAACTTGATGACATTTGTGCGTTGTGCAGACTCCTCTGTTACCAGATCATAGGGTAGGCAGTGGGGGGAAGGTGGTCTCAGGGGGGCTGGGTTAGAGGCTCCTGCAATGGTTTAGGGTGGGAGCCCTGGGTGGGGAGGCTCTGGCGGAAGGACGTTGGGGAGAAAGGACTGAGAATTGGTCAGACCAGCTGGATTTGGCAATAGGATAGGGTAGTATGATACCAAACCGAGGGTATTGGACTACCTCTCATATCTTCTGAATTTGGTCCCAGTCTCCAAGGTGCTCCCGAATATGCCGATACAACTAAGACCATGTCTCCACCTACTTAGGTTTCCTGGTCTGGAATGAATTTGCCTTCGAAGACTCTATGCCTTGTGTTGGCTTTAGAGCTGATGGGTAAGAGTGAGCTGTAAAATCAGGGCTATGGATTTTCTTTTTCTTTTATTTTCTTTTGGTCTAAGAAATATAACTTCATTTGCTATAACTGCCCGATTTCCAATCCTGGACCCCCATTCACCGAGCCTCAGGGAAACCTAATCTCAGCCGTTCTTGCTCCTCTGTCCGCCTTCCCAGGATGGCGTCGACGGCTTCTGGATACCTGGTGCGGTGCCAGGACCTGGGTGGGGGCAGCTGATTCTTAGCTGTCGTGTTGCCCTTGAGACCTCCATCACCTCCGCCTCTTGGCTCTTTCATGTCCACCTGCTCAGATGTGAGAATTTTCGGACGCTGTCTTCCTGAGATCAGCATGGTGTCGTTTCCTCTCGGGGTCTTATTAGACCCTAGGAACACTACAAGGAAGTAGGGTGCAGGAGCCCTCCGACCCTGGGACCCATGGGTCCCTCCCTTCTCTCCCTTGTCCTCTCCCTCAGGAACCTTTCTGGGGAGGAAACAGAGAAACCCTTCTCCGAGACATTCATCTATTCCACCAAATCTTCTCCCCACTTTAGGGCTTAGGTATGGGGGGAAGCCAGAGGTCCTGTAGGACGTCCTTTACTTTCCAGCTCTTATTGGCCACATGTGTCCATGGAGGCAATGAACATGGGGCTCCTAACAGCTGCCGGTGGGTGAGAAGTGGGCACCGGTGAGAAAAGGAGAAAATACAAGGAGGAAAACAATTAAATAGCATTCCAACATAGTAAACGACTACATTTGTAAGCCTAATAGGCGTAGGAAGGGGGATCTGGATGTGCACGCCCTAAGGTGCCACCAGCAGATTCTTTGAGAGGTTACAATCACAGGCTGATACCCTTCTCTGCTTAAATTCCTTTTCTGATTTTTCGGTAATGAGCACACATTGCCTTTATAAAAGGAAGAATAATTCAGCAAGGTTCGTTTTTTAAGAAAGATTCGGGAACAAAGACCCATTTAGGTACCACCTCCATAGTGAAGTGCCCGTCTTCCCCAGCAGAACCTTGTCCCTAGGTGGTATCTACACTCTCTCCCACACATTTGACTAATAGCATCGGACCGCTAACTCTTTAGAGATAGCAGCTATTTATGTTCATCTCTGCTCCCCTCTTAGGTCTGGGGCTGCTGCTTCTTTTTTTTTTTTTTTTTAAGATTTTTTATTTATTTGACAGAGAGAGCACAAGCAGAGGGAGAGAGAGGGAGAAGCAGGCTCCCTGCTGAGCAAGGAGCCCGATGTGGGGCTCGATCCCAGGACCCTGGGATCATGACCTGGGCCGAAGGTAGCTGTTTAACCAACTGAGCCACCCAGGTGGCCCAGGTCTGGGGCTTCTTAAGATCAGTGACCATTGCTCTCTCATCTTTAATCCTTAACAGATAGTCCTAAATGCCTGGCATCTAATCACCACTCAATAAATATCTGTGGACTAAATGTTGCCTTGCGTTTTCAAATTTTCAAAGAATTTTCGATAAGATGTCTCATTTAGTTTTCATGTTTCTCCCTTTATTTATTTTTTTATTATTAAGCTGACGTGCACATGTTCCAAATAGTATTGCAAATTTTACACCAACATTGAGTGGTTCCCATGCCTTCTCCCTAGTCCAGAATCCTGATTCCCAAGGTACCTACTTCAATTCTTTCTGCTCTTTCTTTTGGTATTTACCATCCTATTTCTAAGTCACATGCCTACCTGCCACTTCTTGACTTCTCAATTAAGTGGTTTAGGGCTGTAAATGAAATATCACTTACCCATGGCCTTGACGCCTGTCGCCCTTTCAGGCTTTCACGTCTGGACACGTGAACCCAAACGGGAGCGGATGGGGACTCTGACGGTCACTGTGTGTCATCCACGTTAGCACCTGACCCACTTGAATAACATGGTATTTTTCCAAGAGCCTTTTATACACCGTGAAGTCCTCACAACAGTATTGTGAGACTGGTATTAAGATTCCCATCTAGGGGCGCCTGGGTGGCTCAGTCGGTGAAGCGTCTGCCTTCGGCTCAGGTCATGGTCCCAGGGTCCTGGCATCGAGCCCTGCGTTGGCCTCCTTGCTCAACAGGGAGCCTGCTTCTCCCTCTCCTTCTGCCACTCCCCCTGCTCGTGTTCTCTCTCTCTCTGTCAAATAAATAAATAAAATCTTAAAAAAAAAAAAAAGGATTCCCATCTAATGGATGAGAAAACAGGGGCTCTAAGAGTTCCGTGACTTGCCCAAGGTCACACAGCTGGCTGGTTAGTGGCCGGGCTGGAACTCAAGCAGGCTCCTTCCCGCACCAGTGTGCACCACCGCCCATTTGCCAAGCGCCAAGAACTTAGTTTTCTGTCAGACTTTCAAGTTCAATACATGAGGACAGCCAGAGGCTAAGTCTTGGCACGGCAGGCAGCTCCCCTCAGCCACCTCGCAGGAGACGGGCAGCCTGCTCTGAGCCGTCAGGAAACCTGATCCTGAAGTTCTTAAATGCCACCACGCTTGTGGGGTTTGGCAGCTTCTCCGGGAGCTCTTCCGGCCCCAACGGAGGGCAGGGGTAGCTGCCCACTGGACTCCCTTGTTCTTCTCCTTCCTCCCTTGGGCAGAGGGATGGCAAAGGGGAGGAATGCTATTTTCCCCCAAGGTCATTATCTCGAACATGCCAGGCTAAAAATGTCACCGGGACTCGGGCTAACCCCTGAAACAAAGTTTACTCGCAGGTGTCATTAGCCCCAAAAGAGCTAAGCGAGGTACCAGAACCAGGCGATGAAAACTGACTTTGCTTTAAACAATCTTGGTTCGAGAGGAGAGTTTCCCAGCCACAGGACCACGTGATCTCATCTTGTATCTGTGATTCTGGACCTTTATGTACCTGCCATTGTTTTGTTTAAAACATTTTCTTCCCCAGTTACCTCCATCCCACCCACCACCACCCCTGTTCAAGGTCTTCCCTACTCTCCTTAACTCTCAAGACTCACCCCTGTGGTGAGAGCTATGTGTTTGTGTCTGTGTTTATGTATCGTAGGGAGGGAGCACGTCCAAATTTTAAACCAGCTTCCCATCTCCCGGGCCATGGTTAGATGAAAGGGATTTCAGAGAATGCTCTGGGCCCCTCTGCTGGGGGAGAGCTTTGGAAATTGGATCCAGCTACTAAAGCACTAGGAACAGTGGCTTAGATGTGTTTTTCCTCTTCTGTTCCCATTTTTATATTGTCCCCCATTAGGATTTAACTGGCCAGAAACTAAACAAATAAGACAATTGGCTTTGATTTGAAAAAAGAACATTTGAAATAACAACAGAATACAGATTTCTGTATTTTTTTTTCCCCAGCCTACAAAGAGAATTAAGGCTAATTAAGGCAAAGTACAGGTTTTGGTGATCGAAGCAACTTGTGGACACATCTAAAGTGTCAAAGTAAAGTTCTAAAATGTAAACCATGCAAAAAGATTCAGGACTTCCGGAGGAAAATACACTGCAAAGTTTGGGGGTGGGGGGAAACAGAATGGCTGGTTTCCATTTCAGATAAGACCAGAGCCCCTAAAGAGCTATGCGGACACCAAGGGAGTTTTGGCAGCTCCGGACTGGGCTAACAACAGCGTGCGGTACTGGAGGTGAGAGCTGCCCATCAAGGAGGTTGCTCAGCTGGGGGTGAGGGAAGGCAGTGCTGTGGGGGGAGGGGGTCCGTGTCATGAGGACGCCAGTGGAGGCGTGTGTGGGACCGGCCACTCCCCACAGGGCAGGGACACCTAGCCTGGAGTCTCTTCCAGTGTCTGTTCCACCGAATGGCAGAGCCCAGAATTATTAGGAAATCAAAGGGGTTTTGGTTTTTTGGGTTTCATTGAAGAATAACTGGTATACGATAGTGTATATCAGTTTCAGGTGTACAACATAATGGTTGGATATTTATGTACATTATGAAATGCTCACCATCGGGCTAGTTTCCATTTGTCACCATACGAAGTCGTTACAGTATTATTGACTATATTCACCAGGCTTGTACTTCACATCCCCGTGTCTTATTTATTTTATTACGGGGAGATTGTCTTTCCCATCCCCCACCACCCCCCTCCCATCCCCCACCACCATCCCCCACCACCATCCCCCACCACCATCCCCCACCACCATCACCACCACCATCACCACCACCATCCCCCACCACCACAGTGGCAACCACCACTCTACTCTTTGTATCTGTGAGTCTGTTTCTGTTTTGTTTTGTTTGTTATTTGTTTTTTTTATTTTTTATTTTTTATTTAAGATTAATTTATTTATTTGAGAGAGCGAGAATGAGAGAGAGAGAGTACATGAGAGGAGGGAGGGTCAGAGGGAGAAGCAAGCTCCTTGCTGAGCAGGGAGCCTGATGTGGGACTTGATCCCGGGACCCCAGGATCATGACCTGAGCCGAAGGCAGTCGCTTAACCAACTGAGCCACCCAGGCGCCCCCAGATAATTATTCTTTTGTATCCATTTCATTTATTGCATAGAGCCATGTGAGCCCTGTTAATGATAAATTTATTTTTTGAAGTGCAACATTTTTTATTTTTATCTCCCAAATAGATCAGATTTTATATTGAGTTGTTTTTTGCTTGCATGTGACCCCTGCATGACTTGCTTGTCCCTCTGAACCCTTAATAGAAAACAGGTTCCCCCCTCACCCTACCCTGGCCTTGCTCGTAGTGTTTAAATCCAGGATCACCCAGGGTCTGGACAAGACGAATGCAGGGCACTCACCATATGGACGGAAGGAATTTGAGCATTCAGTAAATACCATGCATGAGCATAAGGAAATGCCTACGTAAACACCCACATTCCTAGCAATCACAGTTGTGCTTAATTATAGGGAATTGAAATGAAACTTAATTACATAATTTTGTCAGTAGCTGGGTCATCGTTATGACTCCCTGTAAAACATAAAGGAGTCATCAGTAACCCTCCAGGGACCTTGTTCCTCCTGCCTCTGGGAAGGACTGCAGAGACGAGCTCGGGGTGCTCCGTCCCCGGGGCTGGCGTGGCCACAAGGCCGAGGGCCAGCTGTCCCGGCAGTATGTCTGAAAAGTCTAGTGGAGAAGACACCCTGCTGCACCATCTCCCTGATCACAGCCACGCGAAGGTGCTTGCACTTTGGAAGGAAAACTTCTAGAGGCCTCTTGTGGTTTGGGGGTGGGAAACGCAGGGGGAGGTGAATCCGAGGTTCCCGGCTGAGTAACAAGACTGTTTGCTATCGGAGTAAACACGTAGGCCTTTGCTGTGCCTCCGGGCTTGGAGCTTCAGCTCAGTTGTGCCACTGCAGGGGAGAAGAGTGAGTCTCACCGTACTCAAACTTCACAGCACCAAAACAAAGGTGGCCCAAATCCCTCAAGAATATGTTCTGGATGGGGGCGCCTGGGTGGCTCAGTCGGTTAATCATCTGCCTTCGGCTCAGGTCATGATCCCGGGGTCCTGGGACGGAGCCCCACATCGGGCTCTCTGCTCCGCGGTGAGCCTGCTTCTCCCTCTCCCTCTGCCCCTCTCTGAGAGCTTGCTCTCTCTCTCAAATAAATTAAAAAAAAAAACAGACTATGTTCAGGACTAACTCAGGTTTTCCACTCTGCATGCATGGTATCCTTTCAGAATGGACACTTTAGGGATGTCTACCCAGTTCATGAGCCAACAACCCTCCTTTTGAGACTATCCTCCTCTTGTGCACAGGGTGGACCCCAGGACCTGTGTCACTTGCCATGTGGCCAGGGACAGGAAGGGACACAAGTGGGCCAGAACCATAAAAATTAAAAACTGGGAGCAGAGAGTCTTCAGTCCCGGAAGCAGGTGTTATGGGGCGGCCACCCTCCAGAACCATGAGGGCTGAGGAGCAGAGAGCAGAAAGCAGTCTAAGAGGTTCCAGACCATTCTAGAGGCTCAACCACATCTTGCTGTTGGGCTCCTCAAGACATTGTCTAGCCTTATGATAAATCCAAACCCCCATTTTTTTTTTCTTAGTTAAAAATGGAAAACAGGGCGCCTGGGTGGCTCAGATGGTTAAGCGTCTGCCTTCGGCTCAGGTCATGATCCCAGGGTCCTGGGATCGAGTCCCGCATCGGGCTCCCTGCTCCTTGGGAGCCTGTTTCTCCCTCTGCTTCTCTCTCTCTCTCTCTCTGTCTGTCATGAATAAATAAGTAAAATCTTAAAAAAAAAATAAAAAAAATAAAAATGGAAAACAAAAAAAGGAATAAGGGCTTAAAAGTCTTGAAGGCTGTTAGCTTTTCCAGGCTGCTTCATGTCACAGTCCAGCCTTCTCTCCTTTCTGGTCTGGGATATCTCTCCTCCAAGTTACTTCTTTGAGCAAAGAGGCATTTGCCCCGTGAGGCCAGTTAAAAATGTGTATGCTGCAAGGAGGAAGGCCCCACTGTTAGCCTTTTCCCTAACAACCTCCAGAGAAGTTAGATCCTCTGTCAGTTTTCAAGGTCAGGACGGAGAGTGCCCTTCTTGGAAGACCTGAATAAATGTGCTTCCCTGCGGCCCAGGAAGCAGGAAATACGGTATCCACCAGAGGGCTGGCCGCAATGCAGGAGGGAGGCCCTAAATGAGGAGGGATTAACAGAGGTAATCTGCCCAGTGCCCATACCACCACCCGGGCCAGCCCTGTATTTTTCTAGTGATGAGACTCCTCTGTCTTCCACCTTTAATAACAGTGACTACAGTGTACTCTGCGGGTGAAGGTCTGTGCCTTATTCAAATCTGTATTCCCAGGACCCACACAGCACGTTGCACTAGACATTTACTGAACGTCTGTTGAATGAGATGTTCCTCATGTTACATATTTCAGCGTCTATTCAGTTTGTTTAAATCCATTTCCTGGTGGGCTCAGAAAGCTTTTCGGAAGCACCGATGTGATGATGTGGCATCGTGGTGGGCTTCGTAGTAAGGACTGCTTAGAGTGATCTCTGCCTCCTCCAAGTTTGCGATTTAGGGAGGAGCTTGACATTGCCCTTGAACGAATACAATCCCCAAACATGCCCAATTCGACGACACGTAGGGTTCTAGCCTTCACGTTGTCACAGGAAACGGAGCTTGGGTCAGGCCACCTCCCATGGCTTCTTCATGCTCGCCCATTCCCCAGCACATCTGCGGGTTCTAACTTGACGTCTATCTGTGTGACGATCTGTTGTCCCTTTATATCCTGGGCTCCGTGGGGGGAGGAAGGTGTCTGGTTGCGCTCATCACCCAGGCCCCAGGAACTAGCACAGCGTTCATAGGGGGTGCTCAATAAATATTTGCTGCCTAAAAGAATTAGTGGCCACAGAGTTGGGAGGCAAGGAGTCAAAGCTGCAACCAGAGAAGGAGGAGACCAGACTCAGGAGACCCCCACCTTGCGCAGGACAAATCAAGGGTCACTGGGAACAGGGCACCACGGCAGGGCTGAGGAGCCGGGAACTTGTTATCTGAGTGGGTATTTTGTGCCAGAGGCTAAATACATGTTGTCAGTTAATGCTCACAGCAGACTTCTTGCAGAAGCAAAAGGCAGCGGCCGGTTTTACAGATAAGAAAACCCAGGGTCAGGTGGATGAAGATTTCTCCCAGTCACACCAGCTAATAAATGGAAGTGCTGAGGACTCTCACTCAGGTCTCTCTGGCTGCACATTTCATGTTCTCCTCCTCTCTCTGGGGCCTCAGGAAGTCTGTGATCATATGGCTTGGAAGAAGAATGGTAGAAACAGACGAAAGAGAGCTGCTTGGGACAAGGGTGATCAAGGTGACCCTGGGAGGCCTAGGATGTCAGGGAAAGGAGCGGGAGTTAAGGACACCTGGAAATCCATGAGGGTGAAGGCTATGGGTCCCCAGAGAGGATGATTCTTTTTGCCAAGACTCCCAGGAGCTCCCCCAAAACCTGTGTAGCACAGAGAACCCACCTCGAAGTCCAGTTAGAGAAACCTGCACATCGGAGGACCCACGCTTTCCCCAGCAGAACACCTGATGCTAATTTGCATAAATTAAGGGATACTTTTGGCAGCCTCCCCCAAAAGGGGGAAATAAAAAGAAAGGAAATCTAATCCTCAGAGCCAAAAACCTGGAGTGCCAGAAGCCAGACCAGGCACCCTGCGTCCATCTTCCCCTGACGCTAGAAAAAAGCATGGCCAGGCTGGAGTTCAGCTACTGTGCCCCACCCTCTCGCTCCAGCCCCCCCATCTCCCACCCGAAATTCTTCAGTAGCTCCCCCTGGACAAGAAGATGACTGATAGTCGTTAGGCGTCTGCCTTCGGCTCGGGTCGTGATCCCGGGGTCCTGGGATCGAGCCCCGCATCGGGCTCCCTGCTCCGCGGGAAGCCTGCCTCTCCCTCTCCCGCTCCCCCTGCTTGTGTTCCCTCTCTCGCCGTGTCTCTCTCTGTCAAATAAATAAATAAAATCTTTAAAAAAAAAAAAAAGAAGAAGAAGAAGAAGACGAATGATAAAGTCCAAACTCCTCAGTCTGACCTACAAGGCAGATACTGATCGGGTTCTGCCTACCTGTTTGGGACCATCCCCTGCCCGGACAGAGCCCCTTCTCTTGCGCCCACCGAGCTCACACGCTCCCAAGGGCGAGCCCACCACGGTCTCTTTATGGGCCAGAGAGGTAAGTTTCCAGACCCATCGCCAACAGGGGCAGCTTAATTATGGGTATGGACGGTGACACCCCTTGCCTTCATGTCGTATGGAAACTGGTGTGAAGTCTCCCCAAGGCACCAGAAAAATTACTAATTATGCGTCCACCCTGTGGATACGATCCTCGGCCTTAATCCAGATTTACATCTGTCCCTAGGGATCAGCACATGCTCGGCAAGGAGAGGAGTCCAGAGTCACTCCACAAGGCTGCATGGCAGGCTGCCACCACGGGAGGAAGGACAGTGGCCCCAGGGGGGGCGTCAGCGCAGGAGAACAGCACGCAGGCCCCCCCGGCCCAGGCCACAGCCCGCCCCACCCACAACGACACCAGAGCAGAGGCCAGCGTGGCCACCTCAGCTGAGCCGGCCCCACCGAGGGGTCAGGACAGGAAGGACACCGTGCTGGACACGCCGCCTCCGAGGGCCCAGGACGGGACGGCGGCCTCTGACGGGGCAGAGACACTGTCGCTGAGGAGTCAGGATGCCAGGACCATCAAAGGCAGGCAGGACCACAACAAGGAGCCCACAGCCACTAGGCCGGAGCCCCCGAACCCTCAGGGCAAAGTGCAGACCACAGCAAGGACACCCGTGCCGAAAAGTCAGGCCAAGGTGCTGACGAGGCCAGGAGCAGGGTCAACGGAGAGGACAATGAAAGGAGTGACCACAGCGGTTGTCGCCCACCGGGAGACAGCCCGGGCCACGCCACCCTCCACCCCTTTCCAGAGCCGCAGCACACAGAGGAGTCCAAGTCTGCGGGCCACCAACTTCAAGTCTGAGCCCCGGTGGGACTTTGAGGAACAATATAGCTTTGACACGGGAGCCCTAAGATCGGTGAGTCTGGCCACGACCTCTCTGCTCCAAAGGCCCTGCAGACAGCCCCCCCAGTCCCCGCCCCCCGCCTCCCTGACCTCCCGGGCTCTGTCCCCAGGCTCTGCCTTGTTCACGCCACCACCACCCCACCCCCTCCCCGCTGCCGTGCTCTCCCCTACAGCGTGGGAAGGGGTGAGGGAAAGGAGCCCTGCCCTGGAGCCCCCCAGAAGGCCTGGAAGGTCCCTGAGCAGGGTGAGAGGTGCTACTTGCTCTGGGGCCGTCCTCTGGGACCCTCAGGGCTACAGCACCCAGGACAATGGCGAGAGAGGATCAGCAGGCCCTCCAAACAGGGTGGAAGAGGCAGCAGAGGTGGTGCCTTCCAAACGCTGAGGCCCACTTTCTGCCCCTGCCCCCAGCCCGGCCCCTGGCCCTGGCCTTCCTGGGCCTCTCCCTGCCTGACCCACCCTCCTGCATGTAGACCTGCCCCGACTCAGTGAAGGTCAAGGCCTCCAAGTCACCCTGGCTCCAGAAACTCTTTCTGGCCAACCTCACCCTCTTCCTGGACTCCAGCCGCTTCAACCAGAGAGAGTGGGAGCGCCTGGAGCACTTCCCACCGCCCTTCGGCTTCATGGAGCTCAACTACTCCTGTGAGTCTTCCCGGGGCGGAGCCTGGGCAGCTGAGCCTCTGGCTCTGGTCTGCCTCTTCCCTGGGGGCCCCCCAGCGTGGGGAAGGAGGCTGGGCTGGCCCTCCCTGACCCTTCCAGCGCTCTGAGCGGAGCCCCCCTTGTTCCAGTGGTGCAGAAGGTGGTGACTCGCTTCCCTCCGGTGCCCCAGCAGCAGCTGCTCCTGGCTAGCCTCCCCGCTGGGAGCTCCCACTGCATCACCTGTGCCGTGGTGGGCAACGGGGGCATCCTGAACAACTCCCACATGGGCCAGGAGATCGACAACCATGATTACGTGTTCCGGTAAGCGGCCTGCCCCAAGCGCCGCATCCAGACTGAGAGGTCTGGTAGGGCGTTCCCCGAGGCCGAAGGCCCGGGCTCTCCCGAGAATGTCCCTTTATACCTGCTGCCTCCCCATCTCTCTTTTCCTTCCCCGCCCGCCGCCACGCCTTTCCCTCGGGCACTCACGAGTCCTTTCCTGTGCGGTCCTGTCTCACTGCCTAGACTGAGCGGAGCCATCACTAAGGGCTACGAACAGGATGTGGGTACCCGGACGTCCTTCTACGGCTTCACTGCCTTCTCCATAACGCAGTCTCTGCTTGTCTTGGGCCGGCGGGGTTTCCCGCACGTGCCCCTGGGGAAGGTGAGCACAGGGGAACCGGCCCGGCCACACACAGAATCTGAATGGGGAGCACGAGCTGGGAAAGGGAGCCTGGTGTCCCGTGTCTGGAGTCTGGCTGGCGCGGGCTCTGTTCATCCGAGGGGCAAGAGCTGGGAGGACGGCCAGACAGGCCTGCGAGGAGCAAGTGGGCAGCCTGGCGTCGGAGTCAAACCCCGCCCCCCAGCCCCCAGCCCTGGGCCTGAAGGCAGGACTCCTGGAGCGCTCACTGTCCTTGGTCCTCAGGATGTCCGCTACCTGCACTTCCTGGAGGGCACCCGAGACTATGAGTGGCTGGAAGCGCTGCTTCTGAATCAGACCCTCGTGAAAAGTAGGCTTTCCTGGTTCAGGTACCCACTGCCCCCTCCCCCACCCCAGGCCGAGCTGCGTATTGAGCGGCTGTGAAGGGCTGGACAGGTGGGGACAGCCTTGGCCATCGCCTGGACATGGGCCCCCTGTCCTGGCCCTGGCCCGGACTTGGCCCACATCGGGGGAGGTGAACGACCCATTGCCGTCCACAGGCGCAGGCCCCAGGAGGCTTTCCGGGAAAGCTTGCAGCTGGACAGGTACCTGTTGCTGCACCCAGACGTAATCCGTTACATGAAGAACAGGTGAGAGCAGAACGACAGGGCGCGTGTGGAAGGCATCGGGTCCCTCTCATCCCTTGCAGCCTCCTGACCGCTGGGGGCTGGGCTGTTTCCCAGGTTTCTGAGGTCGAAGACCCTGAACTCTCGCCACTGGAGGATCTACCGTCCCACCACGGGGGCCCTCCTGCTGCTCACGGCCCTTCAGCTCTGTGACCAGGTAAGGCTGTGCTGGAGGAGCAGAAGCCCTATCCCGGGACCTGCCCAGCAGGGGACGACGGCCGGGGTTGGGGGAGGAGTGTGAGTGCGCGTGCACACACGTAGGCCGGTGTCCATCAGGGAGCCCGCCCCGGGCCCCTAGGGAGGGAACCATGACGAAGGGTCCCCCCAGTAACACACAGCCCATGAGAACAAGCCTGGGAGGGAGCACCCTCAGGCCTCATTTCTCCTCCAACTTTCACGTAGGTGAGCGCCTACGGCTTCATCACCGAGGGCCACGAGCACTTTTCTGATCACTACTATGATAAGTCCTGGAAACGAACGGTCTTTTACATCAACCATGACTTCCCGTTAGAGAGAACACTCTGGAAGCGGCTGCATGATGAAGGTGTAATCCAGCTGTACCAGCGTCCCATAATTTCCAAACCAAAGATGTGACTGGAGCCTGGGCGGCAGCAGTCTCTGTCCGTTTCAAGGCACAGGGCACGGTGGGAGTCTTGAGATTCTACCACCATTTTCCCAGGGCTCAGGCCAGGCTCCCGGCCCCTCCAGACTCCCCAGGGAACACTGGCATCGAGGGGGAGACACTTTCAAGACGGCAAATGACTGACTGAGGCTTTGGAGACCTTGGAATGTTGCTTCGGGCTCTGTTCAAAGGAGGGAAGACTCCAGTCTTGAGACCAAGAAATTTGAACTAAACGGGGTGATGACCGTTCAATACCGCAGATCTCGGCTGAATATCACCCTTCACTGTCCAAAAGCTACCTGACACTGGCGGGGAAAAGTCTGAACCTATAGAGACATGTCTCTATTTGGTTTCGAATTCCAAATCTTGTACTTAGCAGCTGAGAAATCTTGAAGGCCTTACTTAATTTCATAGAGATTGTCTAGAGGAACCTTCCTTCGGGGCTTACCTGATTCTAGAAGGATCTGCACCTTTGTCTTTGAGCTCTTTGACAACTCTCTGGGTTGCAGAAAACTGATAGTAATAAAAATAATTCTTGCCCATGGAGATGCAAATAAATCTTGTACAGTGAAGATGCAAGTGACGATTCCCCTGGGGGCAGTGACCTGTTTTGTACATACAAGCAAATTCATGTTAGCGGTTCCGATTGCCTGTATGTGCGTCTGTACTCAGGGTTCTCCTTTGAACCAGTTTTTACATCTTACTGGTTCCTTCATTCATTAATACACTAAATAAAATCCTTGACATGCGTTCATTTTATATTTGTATGAAAGTCACCATTTCATCCTTGAAAAAACATCTATCATGTTCTGAGGCCACAGTTTTATAATCTGTAGCAGGACTTTTAGGGTATCCATTCTGCAAGGATGTTAAAAATTACTGTCTGTAAAAAGCCTGATGCAACAAGGACCCAGTGTCCTCCCCTTTCATTCTCTATCCTTCCGCCAGCCTGCATTTCCTCAAACCTCACGTTGAGAATCTGGACCAAGCCAAAGGCTTTTCAGCTCATTTTACCCCCTTGAGCTCTAGCTACGGGATTTGGAATCTGAAGCCCAGAAGAACTCTAAAGATCCTAAACCGAATAAAGGTCCCCGATAAAGGAGATGGAGGGCGTGGAAGGCAAAAAAAAAAAAAGTAAGCTGTCTTTTAGACTTTATACTCAGAGTTCAAAAGCTAATTTAATACAAATAGGACCGGATTTGCTTTGCTCAGAAGGGCTGCAGTAACAACTCTGAGCAGCAGGTGGCAGCATCTTGCGCACCCCCCCACCCCCACCTGTTTCTGGAATGCTCAGCTTGTCTTTTTCAGGTTTTCCCAGCTCTTCTTACATGTTTATTCCTCCGTGTGAATTTTAGTATCCGTTTAGGATCTAGAAAAAAATGCATTGGTATTTTAATTGGAATTGCATTAGATTTATACATTTACTTGGGAAGAATGGACCGATGTATTACATTGAGTCCTCTTTTCCAAGAGCAAGAGACGGTTCTCCACTTGTCCAAATTTACTTTTGTGTCTTTCAGTATTTCAATATTTGCTCATACAGATTTTGAACGTTCCTTGTTGAATGCACTGCTCAGTATTTTATCTTTTATGCTGTTGTAAGTGGATTTTCTCTACATTATATCCTCTCCCTCGTAATTGTGAAGGGTGTGATATACTATCATATCATCTGCACATAGATTATTTTCTTTTTTTTTAAGATTTTATTTATTTATTTGACAGAGAGATACATAGTGGGAGAAGGAACACAAGCAGAGGGAGAGGGAGAAGGAGAAGCAGGCTTCCCACTGAGCAGGGAGCCCCATGCGGGGATCAATCCCAGGACCCTGGGATCACGACCCGAGCCGAAGGCAGACGCTTAACGACTGAGCCACCCAGGCGCCCCATGCACATAGATTATTTTCTAATTCTTTATGCCTCTGATTATCTCTTTTCTAAATCTTTTGACTGGTATGCCCAGAGTGAGCTAACACAACAGTTTACTCCACTTTGGATCCAGATAAATGAGGCTCAGCCTTTAAGTTTGGGTAGCCTGAATTTAAATTTGAGAAGGTAGATTTGGAGGTCCTCTGCTGATAGTGTATGATAGAATATGCTATATGGTGTTGATAGAGTTAGGTAGCAGTGATGTGGGAAACAAAGGCAAAAGAAAAATTAAGTTTCCTTACTACTTACAGTCCTTTGACAAGTCCTTAAAACAGACAGAGTGACATTCCTCTAGGAACTCCGCTGCCTCAATGTTAATACTTTGCTAAGGGCAAAGGCAATCTTAGCCCAACCCCCAGGATCCTGTAAGTCTACTTTAATATATAAAAATAACTTTGGAAACTTCCTTTATCTCTACCCCACAAGATACATGTTGGCGATCATCCCCAAGCACGTGAACCACCAACAAACATCTCAAGAGTCTCATGACTGAGTTTTTACTAAACAGTAATAAATGACCTTTTCCTTAAAGTAGCTAGACCCCTCAGGATCCTGGAAACCTTGTTGTCAAAATACCTGGGAGGGTTATGCTGCGCCTAACCCCCTCCCAACTTGAGAGCATATAACGGGCCACTCCTCATGACCCCAGGGCAGCTCTTTCTGCCCACGGGTCCTGTCCCCTGTGCTTTAATAAAACCACCTTTTTGCACAGAGACGTCTCGAGAATTCTTTATTGGCCATTGGCTTCGAACGCCAGTGTCTTTCCTACATCGCAGGATATAAAATTAACACAGAAATCAACAGCCTCTTGACCAAAAAATCCCCTCTCTAGGAATTTACCCTGAAGATATATCTCCCAACAATACAAAAATAAATATGCACAAGGTTGTTCCCCGCAGCACTGTTCAAAATTGCAAAATACTGGGAACGGCTGAGGTACTGAAACATAAGAGATACAAACATGAAGACTGGTACAGCCACACAATGTGATGTACTGAACATCAACTGAACAGCTGAAATAAAGTGAGGAAGATCTCTGTGAACTGACATGGTGTGGTTTCTAGGGTATATTGTTAATTTTTTTCAAAAACTAAAGACAAGGGGCGCCTGGGTGGTTCAGTCAGTTAAGCATCTGACTCTTGGTTTTGGCTCAGGTTGTGACCTCAGGGTCATGAGATGAGCCCATGTGGGACTCTGCGCTCAAAGTGGCCTCGGCTTGTCCGTCTCCCTCTGCTCCTCCCTCTGCTCACTCTCTCAAAAAATAAATAAATAAAATCTTTTTTAAAAAGAGAAAAGAGGATAGCATTTATGCCTTTTACATAGGAAAGAAGAAATCAAATATACACATACCTGCTTACTTTTGCAAATACCAAAAACCAGTGAGATTGTTTACCTAAGCTGGGTGTTGGGTAGGAAAAATTTTCCTTTACCCGTCAACAGTTCTTCTGGCTGCTCTAAGAATGAAATTGACATGACACAGATTAATAGGATAAAATCTAATTTAATTTCATATGTACAGGAACCCCACATACATGAGAGGTTCAAAGACAGAAAGGTAAAATGAGGTATGTAGGCCCTTGATGTCATTTTGGAGTGGTGTTGGGGTCAGAGCCGACAGCCAAGAAAGAATTCTTGGGACTTCTTTGGTGCAAAAAGGGGGATTTTATTAAAGTGCAGGAACAGGACCCATGGGCAGAAAGAGATGCTGCACTGGGTTGTGAGGAATGGCTGATTATATACTTGGGAATTGGGGAAGGTAAAGAAAAAGGGGTGCTTCCAAAAAGACTTTCATATGTTAAAGAAGACTTGCTATTGTCAAGCTAAGGTTGTTTTTCCTCTAGCAAAGCATCAACTTTAAGGCAGTTGGGAGTTTTCTAGAGGAATGTTAATATATACTCTGCCTGCCTCAAGTATTTGTCAATGGGCTGCAGGTTATAAGGAAAGGAAATTTAATTTTTTCCTTTGCCTTTGTTTCCCACATCACCATCCTGAGCAAAGGAACGGAGTGGAAGCTCAGGCTTCAAAGGGAGGGAAGGCAATTCATGGAGCAATGAGAAAAGCAGGTCTTTCATAACTCGATGTTTGCCCTGCCATACAGATGCGCCACTCAAATAAAATTTATCTCTGGAAGTAACTCTTATTCTGGGAAAGAACTGCAATGTAGATTCTTCTAGGTAGTTAAAGGAAGGTCAAAGCTTTCTCTTGAGCCCACAGGTCTCGATTGACTTCAGTTCTAAGTAGTCCACAACCAAAGGGGCACATTTTGGAAAGGCTTGTTCTGAGCCCCTTCAGGGCTGAATAGGAACAGCACAGAAAGGATGAAAGTGTAGAACAGGGTGTGGGGAGGGAGAGACACTTCTCCAACTGTACCTTTTGGCATGGCTTTGCCTTTGTACTGTTAAAAAAAAAAAAATCCAACCGAGTACATTTGAAGATCTAACTGGCTTTATTTAACAACCACGAATTGGGAAGCATCTCATCTAACAAACAGAAAGGAGCTCCCAGGAGCTATACAAAATAAAAGGCTTTCATAGGCGGAAGATGGCTGGGGGAGGGACAGTTTCTAACAAGAGTGGACTGTTTCAGGAAAATCACCTTCCTTTGTGGGGAAGGATGGGGATCTATCATGCAGATCGCCTCATGAGTGCTGATCAGGTAATTCCAGATTGATTGGTTAAAGGTCACCATCCGGGAAAGGCTAAAACTGCAATTACATTAGATAGTAAGTCTTGGTTTGCTGACATGTGCCGTAGCACAAGGGACTGCATTTTGAGCCTGTTGTCTCTTTTTTCCTTAAACAGAAACATAATCCTCAAAAGATATTAAAGTCAGCAAGGATTGGGGGGAAATCCCAACATGGAATACAAAGATAAGCAATTGAAAAAAAATGGACAAAGTGATAAACTCTTAAAAAAAAAGAAAAGAAAATGGAACCTAATTGTATTAAAATGTTATTTATAACCACGCAGATGCTGTGGGGGGCGCAGGACTATATTTCAACTACATGTCCTCAGACTAAAGACAAAAAGAATTGCAAATAAATATTGAATTCTGACTGGCAGGTTTGTTTTACACGGTGCTGAAACCACTTTCAGTGTATTATAGGATTAAGCAAATAAGCAAATATATTAAGGATAATGGAAACCAATTTTCTCATTATCAGAAAAGAAAGTTATATCCAAAATGAAATGCAACAGCACTTTACTTATTTCAGTGCTACAGGTCAGTCTCTGTCACCCACAGCAGACCTCTTCTAGTTTTCTGGGAAGATTACCTGACAGTTTTTTGGGTTTTTTTTAAGATTTTGTTTATTTATTTGACAGAGAGACACAGTGAAGAGAGGGAACACAAGCAGGAGGAGTAGGAGAGGGAGAAGCAGGCTTCCCGTCGAGCAGGGAGCCCGACGTGGGGCTCGATCCCAGGACCCTGGGATCATGACCTGAGCCGAAGGCAGACGCTTAATGACTGAGCCACCCAGGTGCCCTGATTACCTAACAGTTTTAAAGGATTCTAATATCTTGGGGTGCCTGAGTGGCTCAGTCAGTTAAGCGTCCAACTCTTTATTTTGGCTCAGGTCATGATCACAGGTTCCTGAGATGGAGCCCCACGTTGGGCTCTGCACTGGGCATGGAGCCTGCCTGGGAGTCTCTCTCTCTCTCTCCCCACTCCCCACTCACGTGCTCATGTGCTCTCTCTCTCTTTCTCTCTAAGGAAGTAAGGGAGAAAGAGAGGAAAGAAAGGAAAGAAAGGAAAGAGAGAAAGAGAGAAAGAGAGAAAGAAGGAAGGAAGGAAGGAAGGAAAGAAAGAAAGAAAGAAAAAGAAAGAAAGAAAGA